GACCAGCTTTAAAGGGTTAACTGAAATTTATCAACAATATGGTGAAATGGTGAGAAAAATGATGATGTTTTTCTAGTTATAAGAAGTGTTCATACCGACAGCAGTCCTGGCAGTGATGAAGTCTGTCTGTTTACAAGGTTTGCCCTGTCCGGCCTGGTTTTGTGCCGACACCCTGAAGGTGTACTCCAGGCCATCGATCAGGCCTGTGCAGGTGTACTGAGTGGCTTTGACCAGAGTCTCATTAGCCCTCACCCACAGAAGGCCATTCCTCTCCTTCTTTTCAATGCAATATCCACTGATGGGGCTCCCACCATCAGTGCTGGGACGCTCCCATGACAGGATGACGAAATCCTTGTTGACCTTGTTTATCTGCAGGTTTCTGGGTTCACTCGGAGGATCTTTGGGGAAAAAAACCATTAACACATAATGTTATTCTTGTAATGTTGGGAAGCTATGATACATATTAGAATACAAATGCTCACCAAATGGATATCTGGCAATCATCCTCTCAAAGTAGGTAGGCCCAGAGACGCCAAACCTGTTTTCAGCACGAACACGGAAGCTGTACTCTTTGCCAGGTGTCAGTTTGGTCATTCTGAAGCTCGTCTTTGTGCAAGATGTAGAAACGGTGACCCAATCACCCTGGCTAACATCACACTTCTCTACAATGTAGCTGGTGATGTTGCTACCACCATCCTCCTGTGGCGAGTTCCAGAGCAGTGTGCACGCATCTATGTCCAGTTCAGTGATCTCCAAAGGAGCTTCAGGGGGTCCAGGGATGTCTGAGACACAGACAGCACACGTGTTGATAACGGAAGGCAGGGCGAAGCACTGTTGATGTGTTTACAAGAACCAGCGGTGTAAAAAGTCTCTAACTTACCCATGACGACGACTTTGAGGATCTGATTAATCTTGGCAGTACTGTTCTCAGCTGACAGGCTGTAGTAACCACTATCCTTTCTTGTTACATTCTTTATAATAAGTGTGGTAGTTGTCAGCGTCTTTACAATGGACAGGCGATCCGAGGTTAGCACATCCTCATTGCCCTGCTTCCACTTGCAGACAGGAGCAGGTTTACCTGCCACAATAGCCTCAATCGTCATCTTGGATCCAGCTCTGACTGTCACAATGTCAGGCATGATTATCTTTGGAGCCACTGAGAGGAAGACAAAATATCAATAGTTACTTCTGTATTTCATGATTGATCCATACTAGTATGAGGAAATGTTTAAACTTGTCTACTCACTGAGCTGCTCCTTAACTTCAAACATTCCCTCAGCCTCTCGAGCCAAACTGACGCCCACTGAGTTCCTAGCAGCCACTCTGAACTTATACTTCTTTCCTTCTTTCAGACCAACTACCACGATAGTCAGGTCTTTGACCACAGAATATGGTGTCCACTTGTCCTCGGGTGCACCCTCCTCCTGGTAATCCACCACATAACCATTGATTTTGGCACCTCCATCCCTGAGTGGCTTTAGCCAGCCCAGTGTAGCACTATTCTTGGTGATCTCTAACACGTCCATCTTCTTTGGAGGGTCTGGCTCACCTGAATCCAAAACAAAGCAGGGATTAGGAACAATTAACAAAACAGACTAAATTCAGAGTCAGAAGAAAGCGGAACTTACTGATTGGGTCAACAGCCAAGTAGGACCTGGGTGAGTCTTGAGGAACTCCAATGCCATACTTGTTGCAGGCCATGACTCTGAAGTAATACTCAATGCCAGGTGTAAGGTTGGTGACCTTGAAGCTAGTCTTCTTCAGGTCCTCTGTGCACTTGGTCCAGGTCTTCCTATCAACCTCTCGTTTCTCCACAACGTAAATGAGGATGGGGCTGCCTCCGTCATTCTCCGGTGGCAACCAGGAGAGTTGAGCTGTTGTTTTGGTGATGTCAGTGGCATCCAGGCTGCCAACCGGACCAGGTGTGTCTGTGGACATGACAGCCTCCTCATTAGTGACCAGTCTTTTAAAACGGGTTTAAAAGTTATTAAAAGAAAATACACCATTTGACATTCATTTTTTGTTTCTCACCAAGGACTTTGACACGGACAAATATTGCTTTCTCTCCAGCTGAGTTGGACAGAGTGAGTGAATATTTTCCAGAATCCTCTCTGGTGCTCTCAGGGATAACAAGGAAGGACATGGTGTCAACCTGGTCCACGTGACCACGGCGGACTACATTGTCCACACCCAACCGCTTCCACGTAACCTTGGGGGCAGGCCTTCCTCTGATCACGGCGAAAAGCCTTATAGGACAACCAGCCCTCACAGAAAGGCCTTTCCTCAGACTGGCATCCAGCTCAATTTCTGGAGCCTCTGTTTTACATGAAAAACAAATGAATGTTTAGTGTCATCAGCTTTGGAAAATTTACGAGACTACTGTACTGTACTATAACCCCCGGGCCTCGGACCGGTACCGGTCCGTGAGTCGTTTGGTACCGGGC